GAGGGAGCCCCGGTTCCCTCGGGGCCGCCGGAGGGAGCCCCGGTTCCCTCGGGGCCGCCGGAGGGAGCCCCCGGCCGGCCGCGCCGCCTTCAGCACCGCGCGGGCGGACAGCGCTCGGGGCCGCGCTCCGCGCATCCCCCGCTCATCTCCGCGCATCCCCCGCTCATCTCCGCGCCCGAACCAGCGCCTCCCCGACCCCTCGGAGCTCTCTGGCATCGGGGAGGGAGCCAGCCCCGGGACAGGGAAGGGTCCGGCCTCTCCCACAGGAGCTGGAGGCAAATGACCGAAGCGGCGGGCTGTCTTAAGTGGTTCCTGGGCAGCCGGTGTAAATCAGCACCGATGTGTGACAAGCTGCGCGGATCCTGTTAAGGAGATTTATATATGTAGTTCATGAAGACAATCATCTGGCTGCTAGCCTCTCATTGTGTGCCGCTCCAAGGCAGTTCGTTCACACAACTGGCTGCAAAACGAAGATACGAGTATCTCTCCTGGGAAATGTCTGTGGGAAATGTGCGTTGTGTGTGTGTAGTGGCTAAACAGCTGTGATACTGGTGCGTAATGAGACAGCAGTGCATTACTCATAGCTCCAGGAGAGGACATGGAAGTAAATTAAGAAATCAGCATAACTCACACAGCTTTTGACCCGTCACTAACAGCAGCAGCATTGCATGGGAGTAGGACATGGCGTGCGGCTGCAGTTCATTCATCAGCACATCACCAAGGGCTGGGCAGCAATTATGCCACAGCCTAATTGTCTCACGTCCACAGGGCTCAGCCAGGCGCAACATACCAGGGCAGCTTTTTCTAAAACAGGGAGAGCCCAATCACTGGGACACTAGCTCAGGCAGCCCACAGCTAACAAGTGCATGTAGTAAGGGCATGGGCAGGGGTTTCAGGAGGACGAGGGTCTAAGAAAGGTAGATGTTTTCCAAGAATCATGGACATCAAACTTCCAGGTGCAAGACCAGTCACTCCCCAGGTGCACATCCCAACCTTCATATCAATAACTTGCCACCAGCAACAAATTCCTCTGTACCGTCCCTCCCTCCTTTTGGGATTATCTGACAGTATCTCCACCCTTTGCTCCCTGATTCCTTGCAGCAAGTCAAATGGAGATGATAATCTGCTATGAAATATTGATAGCACTGAGTTGTGGCAGTCTGGAAATGGAGGGAAAAGGGAGCAGCAAGAATCGCTGGGATTAAGTTGTCCTAGTGCCCACTATTTTCTTGCCTTGCAGGGATATGGGGATTTTGGTACATTCTCACTTCCTACTGTGGAAGTGTGTGTGAAGTCAGGTGAGACCTGGTTTTAACCCCTCTGACCTATCCTGACCAATGCCTCTCAGAAGTCTGCACCACACAACACTTCACCATGTAACCAGCACTCTGTCCTACACATCACTTGTGAGGATTTAGCACAACAGTGTTTGCCCTTTGACCACCGGCAGAAAAGGCTTATTAGTGTTCTCTAACACAACCTAGGATCTCACACCAAATCTTCCAAGGGAACTTTGCTCTGGTTTCACTGAGGTTTCACTGGTCTCTCCTTGCAAAAGAGCAACATGCTTTGCTCCTCTTTTCCCACTGCTCAGATCAAGCTACCCTTCACCTATAAAAGTACCAGTTGCCCCAGCAGATTCAGAGTTAAAAGGCATGAGAAGTAAAATGGGAGCACTGGGAGAGTTCGGCCAAGACAGAGTCATCTCAAACCCCAAACCACTGCTGAAAGTGAGGGAGGGGAATAATAAATGACTGATTGTCCCCACTTGCCCCAGGAGCTTCTCTCCCCCCCAATTCTCCACACTTGCCCCAGGAGCTTCTCTCCCCCCCAATTCTCCACACTTGCCCCAGGAGCTTCTCTCCCCAATGCTATTTCAAGAGACAGAAATGTAGTGAACACAAGCAGAGGGGACGGGGTGGTTAGAAAGTCCTAACTCCCAGCTTGAGGTGAAACACTGGGAAGGACAATGGGAGACTGAAGAAGAGGAATCAAGAAGGTTAATTTTTGCCTATGATCTCCCCTCCAGGTAATGAACTTCTGAGCACCTGATTAAAAGGGCAGAGATCTTTTGAGACCTCCCCCCACACCTCCTCTCACTCAGGGTGATGGAGAAAGAGGACTGCTCCCACCCTCTCCTCACCACGGTACCTGGTTGAGGGAAGTCACGGCAAACCTGGGGATAACCAGCTGCATGGCGAGCTGCAGGACAGAGGTGACCAGTCCAGCCAGGATGGCCCAGGTGAGTGGCAGCGGAAGCATGCTGTAGGTCGCAAAAAGCGTGAAAAGCACATAGCCAATGCCGTCCCCAAGGAGGCCACAGCCCAGTCCTGCTGCCAGAATTTGTGTGGCCATGGCCACCCAAGTGACAACACCACTGTACTGCAGGTAGGTGTATGAGGTCGTGTCCTTCCTGACCACCACTAAGGCACAGATCACCACCTCAATGCCAGTGAAGAAGCCCAGGAGGATGCCCTTAATGGGGTCCATGGGAGCAGAGGCTAGGGTCAAGTGGAGGAACAGTAGGGTAAGCTTGGTCAGCACGTCCAGGATGTTCATGACCACCTCAGATTTGCGCCGTTGACCCAAGAAGTAGCGCTGGTAAAGGCGCTCTAAGTCCCGAGACTTAAAGGAGTTGCGGAGAGTGGGGAAGATCACCCCGCGATAGGTATAGCCCCAGTTGAGGAAGAAGTCGGAGTTGCTGGGGGCACAGTCCAGGGGCAGAAAGCCCAAGTCTCCAGTGCTGCTTGTGCCCTCCGGGAAGACTTTGGTGCCTCCGTTGTTATGGCGCTCGCTGCCCAAACTCCGTCCGGCCGACTGCCGCCGGAGGTGGTGCGGTGGGTGCGGGTGGTGGTTGGGGCAGCAGGTCTCGTCGGAGCTGAAGCCCTTGCCCCCGCCGCTGCTGCTGCCGCCGCTGCTGCTGCTGTGTTCCTGGATGAAGCGCTGCTCGGTGATGTGGCGCACGGCCGTCTGCCACAGCAGGCGCTGGGGTCTGCCGCTGCCGGGGGGAGTCCTGTTAATGGTGTAAAGTTCATCGCTGTCGCTCAAGCACCGCACCTCCGAGAGCTCCATGGCGGTGACTGGCGGGGGCAGAGCACCGCTGGCGGGGGGCGGGGGGGCAGGGGAGGGGGGGCACAGACCGTCTCTGGGGAGGGGAACAGGAGGAGGTATGGAACCGCAGGAGAGGAGGGAGGGGATGTCGAAGGGCGGGTGGCGGCGGCGGGGTGGCGGTGCGGGGATCACATTTGTAGGCAGGTCCCTGGGTCTGGCGGTGCGGCTGGCGGCGGGGCTGGTTGGCCGCCGGGGTGCGGGGGGCGGCTGCGCCGGCTTAGCGCAGGCGGCCCGAGCCCCGTGCCCGCTCCCGCGGCGCCCCGCGGAGCCGCATCCCGCGGAGCCCGGCTGCGGCGCAGCCCCGGCGCCCCGGCGGGCTCGGTGCGCGCCCTCCTCGGAGCGGTGCGCGGGGGTGACACCGAGCCGCGGCTTCGGAGAGGAGGTGGAGGAGGGAGGAGCGGAGCATCTACGGGCGCAGCCTCGCTGCCCGGTGGGCGATCCTCGGCCCCATCCGGAGGCCGGAGGCACGGAGGGGTGGGTGCAGCCGCCTTGCAGAGTCGGTCACAGAGGGGAGCTCCTCTCTCCGGGGATCCCGGGGCTCCGCTCCGAGGTCTGGTGCCGGGGAGTTGCTGTAATTCCCGCGGCTGCGGTCATCGGCAGCGCTGCGAGCTCGGGCAGGAGTGGAGAGGCGGCCAGGTCTCGGGCATCCTCGGTCACGGCGCCAGAGCCGCCGGCCGGGGGCTGCCCGCCCGCTTTCCCCCGGCGGCGGGGCATGCCCCTGGCTCACGGAGCGTCTCTGCCCGGGGGGGACTCGGGGCTCCCATCCATCGCAGACACTCGGCTTGCTTGGCAACGGGGGAAAAAAAAAAAAAGGGAGGGAAAAAAAAGGGAGGGAAAAAAAAGAAAGAAAGGAGGAGGGAAAAAAAATCACATCAAAACCAAAATCTAAAAAAATCGAAAGAGCGGGGAATGAAAGTCCCGCCCTAAACTCAGAGCTCTGGGCAGCCAGATGGGAATATCCCAACTTCTCCGCGGGCCGGGGCAAGGGAGTGCTCCGGCTCAGCGGCTTCCCCGGCGGCAGGGAGGAGGAGGAGGAGCAGCAGGAAGGGGCAAGGGCAAAGCGCAGGGAGCGCGGTGCCTGCGGGGCTGCGGGGAGCTGGCGGCGGATGCTGTCCCGGCAGCCGCGGGACGAGCGCGGCGGAGCCGCCGCCGCCGGAGTGGAGCTGCGGGCGGGCGGCCCGGGAGGAGGCAGAGCCCGGCGCGGTCAGCTGATGCCCGCCACGTCGGCGGGGCTGCCAGCACCCCCCCGGCCCGGTTAAAGCAGCCGCAGCTGCAGCTCTGGGAGAAGGACAGCGGGAGGGGGTTGCCGCAGAGCAGGTCCCCTGATCCCAGGAAGGTCCTTCAAGCTTCATTTGGGTTTCTCTGAGCTGCTCTTCTGTAGGTGCCGCGGACTGTCCCGCCTTACCTGAGAGGTGCATCCCTCCACAGCGCTCAGCGAGAGCTGATGCTGCAGTCAGGCATCCCTCTGCCTCGCCACAAGGAAGATCCTCAGACCTTGCTTGGGAAGACCACACGCGCCCAGGGTGAGGGAGCCCTACGAGCCCCACCTCTGCCTCAGCAAGTTCAGACCCTCTTGGAAAGGTGCTGTCACTGTCAGGACTGTGGATCTGACTACCCTGTGTTAAGTGAATGTTTGATGATGCTATCCTGACAGCACTTATATCATAGATGCTGGAGAAATAACAGAAACTGTCCCATGTACAGAGCCTGGTTATAAAGCCACTCCTCATTCCCTATACTGACAGATGAAATTGTTCCTGCTCCTCTGCTTGTGGAGTCACTCTGTGCCAGCAAATCTGGGTGCGTTGTGCATGGTGGCACAGCCCATAGAGGAAGAGGTATCTATCTTTATCTCTTCCATTCCTCCCCTGCCCAAAGTAAACCTTGTTAAGGTGTCTGAACCCTGTCCTGGGGGAAAAGCTGAAACCAGTTTAGAGTTGAAGCCATGCTGCTGGAAGCAGCTGTAGCAGATATAGTCTACTCATTAGACTATGGCAAATTGAGGGAGAGGTGTTTCCTTTGTGTTTCCAAAGACAAGAGTGATGCCTGATGAACTCTTTGAGATAAGCATGCAGCTGCCTTCTAATAGCAGTAGTGTGGACAGAGGCCCTGCCTGGAAGAAATCTGTGCTACCCCAATAGGAGCTCTAGCTTGCTGGGAGTTGGGGTGCTTAAAAATGGCATGTTATACTTGAGTTCCAGTGGATCTGAGCTTCCATGCACACCCCCTCCACCTGTCATTGCTTAATTCACTTATTATTATTATTATTATTATTATTATTATTATTATTATTATTATTATTATTATTATTGTCAGGAAGACATGGAGATATAGGAAGGATTTCACTGACTGTTTCTGTATTTACTCTACAATAGATTTGGGAACTCCAGCCAAGTCTGTGTCCCATGTGTGAGGCAGATTTTGTACAGATATAAGCAGAGGAAGTTCTTGTTCTTCGGAGCCCTGATAAGGAAAGAGTGGCATTTTTGTGGACAGAGATGGGTCTTTCCTGTGATTCAGCATGACCCTGCTAACCTGGAAAGGGTTAATACTGGTTTCACAATAGTAATAGAGACATATATCCTTGCTCCTAGATAAAGCCCATGGAAACTCTAGTGTTACTTCAAGATGAAAATGACACTATAAGAGGAGAAATCTTATGCAAAAACCTATCTATTTATTTAATGAAAGGAATAATAATTATTAGTGCTATTACTCCAGAGTACAGAAAGAAAACAACTTTCTCATCCAGACTGCTCAACACAAATCATGATAAATAAAAGGAAAAAGAAGCAAATATATAATGCAGTTTAAGCAGACACCTATTCAAAAGAGATAAGATGAAACCAAGATAGGGGCATCCCAGTTCTCTAATGTTACTCTATGTACTGAATCACAGTGCTGGCAGTTTCCTTTGCCTCATGGCAGACTGAACTCTACTCTCATAATTTTTCCTGTGATAAAGGCTCTATACCTCCCCAGGCAGTCTATTTTTATGCTTCTCTATCCTTATCATTTTCATATATAACCTGAACATTCCTTGCAGCATTCACTAAGCACATCACTTCTTGTCCTGTCCACCATGAACAGGGAGAACAGATTATCCTGGCAGTAGTCTATACATATTTAATGAATGTCTCTTCTATCCACTCTCTCTTCCCCTTCTGATTGCTTAGGCAAAATAGCATAATTTCTGTCATTTCCACGCCTCTTCCCCCCTCCCCCCCCCACCATGGGTCACATTTTCTAGATCTTTTTTGTTTGTTCTTGATTATATACTCTTGTTTCATGATTTTATTTTCTTTCTTTCTTCCCGCTCTGTGAAATTAATACAGCTCAGCTTGGTTCTACACTGGAAAGTTTTCTTATATCTAGGACTATGTTTTATGATCTGCACACCTATTTATACATCCCAGGACATATCTGTCATCCTCCTATGACAGGTTTATTCAGAACTGATGACCTACTGAAACTTTGTGTCCTCAAGGCCTGGGCAGGTGTCACTTGCTCCAAATGTGCATAACAGCCTACATGAAGTATCTTGCATTTGCCCTCACTGGAATGCATTGTTTTTTCCATCCTGCATGCCAAATTTGAAATAGAACATGTTGAAAACTAAACCTGTCCTCCTCCATGCCAGCAGCCCTCCCCAGCTCTGTGCCATCTGTGTGTTTGGTGAGCCTACTCTCTGTTCAGTGGTGATGGCAAAGCAGTGCAGAACATTTAGGTAACGGTGTGCTCATTTCTTGCACCTATTTCCGAGTCAGCCACAGAAGTACTGGGCACCTTTGTGGAGGGTTACCAAGAAAAGGACAAGAGCTGAGCACTGGCACCCACTGCAGCAATACTCTTGGCTCTGCAGAGCAAGGAAGAAGCCTGACCATCCTGGGGAGCAGGAGAGGGGTGATCCTGCCAAAGCCCTGTTTGCCAATGAGGGCTGGATGGGCTGAGGGTCCAACACGCAGACACAAAGCCCTGTAAGTCCCAAAACTCAGTTGGCACTAGATTAATACTGTGCATTATTCAGTTTTTGCTGCTGTTGGATTTCTTCTTCCTTTTTTTAATTTTAATAGAGCTAAATGACTTGGCAGTGTCACAAAATCACTAAAAGCCATTTAAAAATAATACTGTCACTGGAAGGCTTTTGAAGGATGAAAAATCAGACAGAATTCATTCCTCTTCTGTCACCTGAAAGTTTATGTCACACTTCTCTCCTCCTTCCCCCTCTCTACCCACAGCAGTAGCATTTATGTACAGTTTAATGTTATGATATTTAATCATGCAAATAATGATCTCATTCATTTTAGTGGGACTATTTATGTCCTCAGGATTGGAAGCCTGGCACCATGCTCTGCAAAACTCTCTAGGGTTGTCCAACAAAAGTAGCTTCATATAAAACACATTTTGAAGGAACACTTGTATTATTACACAGCTTTTTTACTTAAATAAATTTTTGACCAAAGAATTTAAGAAAGGAAAAGCAAACCATTGACAGAAAACCACTGTATCTGAAATGGGAAACTTGAGTAGTTATAGAAATGACAGAATATGAGCAAATTAGCTTGGAATTATCTCCTTACCTGCTTGGTGGTTTGGGTTTTCGTTCCTATAAGTCTCTCATTCTTTTTCTTTTTTTTTAATCTTCTCCTTGGCAACAATTCAACAATTTAGATGTTCTAATACTACAAAAAAAAAAAAATCTGGCATTGATTGAGTCTTATTTTAAAAACCCTGTCTATCACTTTCCTCAAATGAATGCATATCTCAATATGATGTCTGTACAAAAGCAGCACAGGGCATAAGAGAATGGATTGAAAATTGTAACACTGGTTAGTAAAAGCATTCAGACTAATTAATGAAAACCATGGTAAAAGAAATGCAAGGCTTCATGGACTGAAACATCAGAGAGAAAGAGGATGAGGACACATAGCTTAGCAGATGAAGGAAACAATGAACATTTGCTGGGCTTTGCAAATAATTTTTTTTTTTCAGTATGGTAAAAATATCAATGAAATATTTTAAAGTTTGTTAGCAATGAAGCTAAATTATTGCATACCCCAGTGATGCCAAAAAGCAGGGAGAAATAAATAAAAGGACAAAAAAAAAAAAGGAAAACGAAAAAAAATTATGTCAAAGTATAAAGAGGCAGCAAGATATGTCAATTTTTTGCGTCTCTATTTTGTGAAGCAGCAGTTCCCTCACATCCAAATAAATTTCTTATCTCTCTCTCCATTCACAGATAAACATATCCACATAAAAAGTCAGAAGACGGTCTAAGCATGGGGATTTCATGAAGAGAAATAAGGGATTTGAGATTAATAATGCACCTTTTAACCAGTGGTTAGAGCTGTGTTTTCCTCCTCTCTCTTCCAGATCCACTCCTTCCTCACACACCCAGTTATTGCTCTGGTTTTGAAAATGGATTAGCAGCTGTGACCACTGCAAATCTTTTACTCAAGACTTTTTGGGTACTGCTGCTGACCAGGAATAGCTGTTTTGTACTAAAAAAAAAAGGTCTGTATATACAGGCACTTGTAAAAGCAATGGAAAATTTTAGGTCTCAGAAGAAATCCATGTTTTTAAGACAGTGAATTTAAGTTTTTAATTTTCAAATGATTCTTTGAATTTTTTGCTGTGGATGATAATATGATTGGCTGTTTCTGTTTTTTGGTTGGTTGGGTTTTGGGTTTGTTTTTCTTTCAGAGCCAGAGAACAAGCATGATGGAACAAAGGAAAAAATAAAGACAAGAAAGTACTCTTCTCCCATGTTAGGAAACAAGGGCCTTTATCCCAAGTCAGAATCAAGTGCAGTTTCAAGAATTTGGAAAAAAAACAAAACCTTCCCAAAACAAAATTACTGTCCTTCACATTGCCCTCTGGACTGTCCAGAAGTTTCCCTCAGTTCTGTCACCCTTTCCCAACCAGGTTTTAGAGAACAGCTGTTTCTTGGCTCATGTCTCTCTCCTGTGCTCACCATCACTCTCCTGTAATGCTGTTAAATCCCTGAAGCACCTGCACTGCTGAATGAATCATACTTTTTACAAAGCACTAGATGGTTCTGGATATTTATGGGCTTCCTTTGAAGGAGGGATTTTGTTTTTCATTTTGACATGAAAGACCTTTGACTTACATGTTAAGTGCAACAGAAGTTAAAAGGAAATGAATATTAAATTCACCACTAAAGTGAAATCTTTATAATCCATAGAAGACAATCCATTTACAAGCATTTTATTCTTGATTTTCTTGAAGCAGCAAGTGCTAGGAGTGATAGCCTGATTAATGAAACTACAATTGAAATTAATACTAGAAAGGAGACTTGAATTTGATACATTTGAAAGAAACTAAAACCATAAAAAAGCACACATAAGGCTTTCTGTATAACTTTTTCAATTGAAAAAATAATTATTAGCTTGTTTTAGAGGTTTTAATATTTAGATCTCAAAGTGTTTTTCTTGTTACAGGATGGAGATGTTTCCTGTGGATGTATACAATAAATCTAATTAGGCTTCAAATAGGGAAATGTTATATTGTATGAGATTTTAAATCCATCCAGATCAGTATCCTGCAGTTACTGCAGTATAAGACATATCCTAAGAGGAAATCCCCCTGTCAACCACTTCAAAGAGGGGAAAGTCTGTTAGGGTTGTGTATGCATGTGCATGTATTAAACCTTGGAACAGGAACAAAACCTAGAAACCTTCATATTTCCAAGGGAAAGGAAATTCCTTTTGTTTCTTCTCCTCCTTCTTCTGCCTGGAGGAAAAGAATTCTCTTCAGTTTTTAAATAAAATAGGAACACAATTATTAGGCTCTTGAGAGCTCCTTTCTTTGCATCCCTGTTTCACAAAGCAGGCAAACTAGAAACCCTGGAACTGTCACTTGGGTTTCCAGGTGTATTGGGGTTCAAGGACGGTAAAACTACAATAATGCTGGGAGTCTGGGCCAAAAAAGACTTTCACCTTGTCATCCTAGACTCAGACTCCTGAGCTGAGTTCTCAAGGAGCTCTTTGATGAGTTGACAGGGTGCCAGGCAAGTTTTTGAAAGTCAGTGTTTTTGAAGCATTGCTTCATCAGCTACTTTGCATATATGAATGTGTAGGGCTCTAGTTTGCTGGCCTGTAGATAAACACAAGGCTTAATTCAACTGGATTCCTAGGCAGTTCTTTTCCCTACACAACTCTTGCCCTTCAATCTCTTATCTTCTTTAAGAAGGTTTCTTGCATTAGGAAATGGAGAATATGCAAAATAACAATTTAAGTGACTGGTTGTATGGCAGAGAGCACTGATGCCTGGTGTGCTGCTGTTAATAGTGATTTATTTCAAATTGAGCTGCCATCATAACTGAAGCATGTTAATCTGCTTGTTGCCAGTCAAGCTGGGATGGTAGGTGTGCTTAGACAAAATGTTTAGGAGGAATCGTTGACTCATGGCAATCTTTAGTCATTCTCTGAAATGCTACAATTAATGCATATGGGCTCAGCAGAATACTTGTTTCTCCATTCCATTATCTTGTTTTTACATTCACTAACATCTTCCTTGGGATAGGGGGAGGATAATAGATTCATGATTGAGCTATCTATTTGATACTGATTTTCTCTAAATCACCAAAACCTGTCATTTTCTTGTGTTGCAGGATTTGCTGTAGAAGATTAAATCTGATTTCCTTTTGATAGCAATGGCAGGTTTTTGGTGAAGATGAATATTTCGGAATGGTCTGTAGGTGGTCTACCCTACATGTGAGATTAATTTCATCTTCTCTTACATGACAAGAAAAAGGAATAATAGCAATCTTAAAGCCTGCATCTGCTCTGCATTCAACATTGTGAGGCCACTTAGAGCCAAGGAGAACATAATCTCATTGCCAGGTAATATAAGGACTTACAGAACATCCAAATATCTTTTCAAGGAAACAAGCACAGAGAATGCCTATGACACCTATAGGGCTCTAAATCCAAGTTAAACAGTTCCATTTGAGAATCAAGTTATAGGTAATGTTCTTGTGATAAATATTATTTACAATGGCACCATCAATAATTTACACAGGGGATGGTTGTGGCTGCTCTCAGCTATATGAGGAATTACACAAAATTATTTCTCCTGTAATCATAATGGGAGACAAAATATCTTAAATTCCATTGCTTTGTAAGAAGGAAATTGTGTATTGGACTACATTCTGCTCTAAGTTTTTTTGGCATCTCCTTAATCAAGACATTTCCAGTGGGTGTTCAGCATGCAGTAGCTCAGACATTTTGGTTTAGTAGTATAGGAATCCTGGAGTACTGCTTCCTGTTGATCCCAAGTGTTACTCTAGTATGGTTCACATCATAAAGTGAGAGATGCCTCTGAAATGAAAGCCTAGTGTTTGATTGCTCCAAGCTTTTGCACATGATTTTTTCTTTGAATTTGGCTTGTGAATACAACCTCATTACATAACTCTCCTGATAAACCTGTATTAACAAAAAGTATCCATTTCCAGTTGTTTTGCAGCCCAGGATGGGATGCAGCACTTAGACAATAGTGAAGAACCGGTGGCCACTATGTTAAGTAATCATCATTATATAGGACTTGACCTCTTCTGAGATCTCTTCAGGAATTATGGTGAGAAAATATTTAAGTGTTTATGGGGAAAGACAGTATCTTTCATTATTTTTGCAGAAGAAGGAGGCTGTCAAAGTGGTGAAGCTTTAGTGCCACAAATTCAAGATAGAAACCAGAGGCCTTTTTCCAGATATCAACTGAGAATTATCCAATACCACTGCAACAGCAAATGTACTCCTGGTCATTCAGCTTCCATATTTTAGACAGCTATATTCAGAAACTCTTAACAAACATCCTGGTGGACCATTTTGTCTGTGTTCATAGATTGTTGACTCTTTTTAACTTCAGTGGAACTGCATTATTTATGCTTTAAAATGTTTTACCAGAGTTAAAAGCCCGTGTGATGGAATATATGCTGTACTTACTAAGTACCAGGACAAACAGTAGCACCTGTAGCTGAAGGGCATAACCAGATTTAAAAATAATATTGGCTAATTCAAGATATAGGCAATAAAAACAAGGAAAAGAACAGAAGATGCAATTCACTAGGGGCGAGTGGAAGGCACTGCATATAAGCAGAAATAATCGGTTACACTGGCACATGATGGGGAACAGCTGCTTAAATAGCAGTTCTGCAAGAAATGATCTGGGGGTTACTGAAATTGAGCCAACAATGTCATGTTGTTGCAGGAAAAACAAACATTGTGGTGCATAAGCAGAAAGATATTATTGCAGAGTAATCTTTTCAACTCTATTCAATACCAGTAAGGTCATAGCTGAGTACTGCTGGGGACAGAGACTCTCTGGGGGATGGGTACAGGGGACACTCCCCTGGTGGGGCTGTGCAGCCCCACCCCAGGTCATCAGGCACTTCTATGGGGACAGAGATGCACTGGGACATCAGCCTGTTGACCTGAGGCCTGGCAACTTATGACCTTGTTGGGGAAGGGACTGATGTCCCTGGGTTGGGCTGGGATAGGATCATGAGTCATGGACAGAGGTTAGAGAGGCCCTGGGAGAAGTTCATCAAAGCCAATAAAGAGCTGATGACCTTTGATGGATGGACACCAGTTTTGGGATGTGCATGTTAAGAAATACGGGATCTTCCACAAACAGTTATGTGAGATGTTGATCTGAGATGCAGGTAAAGTAACCAGAATGGAAGTTTGAAAGAGACACTTGTTTGGCTGTTTTAAGGTGCTGTCTTCAAATGTCATCTCCTAAAAAAATTTTAAAGAACACTTTTATAAGAATAGTAAAGAAGCAAAGCAACACAAAGCAAGTATTAATGTTTTATAACTGTAGAGTATATTGCTATTTAGGTATTTCAATCTGACTGATGCATACTTCACTAAAGAAAGAAGGCATTCAAACTACATTAGTGATTTTATAGAGTGTGGTGGATGTTACTTAGATGTGATGACACTTGTCATCACCATATGTAAACTTATTTATAATGCATTCTTGACTCATTTTCACATTTGCATTTCAAAACTTCATTTATTCTGTGTTAATTTAAATTGTACATATAGCGCGTAGGGAGGACAAGTTAATTTCCTTTTAAAGAAACATCAACTTCTAGAAGCTCAATTTCAACTATTGCTGCAGAACAGGAAGGAATTATTTTTTATTTTTGATGGGCTCTCAACAGCTGAAATATAGCTATTCACCTTTTTTTGTTTCAATAGCTCAGAGTCATAGGTGGTGTACATTTGTTCTCATAATGCCTTGTATTTTTGCAAATCTCAGTGTTTTGTATGAAGTGAACATACAAGGCCATGTTCTCATCTTGAGACTCTCTTGACTCAGCAAAGAGAGAAGCTGGCAGAAGTGCAGCCATTTCTCTCCAGTTCAGCTTGGCATAAGGCCAGACTCAACACAGTCACCCATCCTTGCCTGGAAGGAATTTAATACCGAGGAAGAAGAATTCAGCCTTCAGGGTGCAGTATGAGTCTCAATATATTTTCTTGCTGTATCTTAGAGCAGAAAAAATGACCATTGAACTGGACCTCTTTTCATTGCCTTTTATTTGCTGCAGTGGCTTCTTGAGAATGGCAGAACAAAGGCTGCTGAATGGCAGTGTTAAATCCTTTTGCTCTTGTGAACTCACTGTTCCCAGGTGAGCTCCACTGACACCTGTTCTGGTTTTCTCAGTAAAGAAAAGCTTGCAAGCATTTTACTTTGCTGTGCCCTCCTGGGAAGAACTATTTTCACCCAATGAGTTAATATATTCTACCCTATCACCCTGTCTCCCAATTTATTTTCATATGGCCATGGGGTATCATTGACATTCTGAACTCCAGGTGCCTGAAACTCTAAAGTCCTGACATTGATATCCTTGAATGATTAATACCATAACTGTCACTCTGGAACTCATTTGCTTGGACACTGTGGAATAAGTTCCCAGGCAGCGCCCATAACAAATGAAAAGGGCACTTCAAAGATAGAAGAGTTTTACTACCTCTTTGCAAAGTAAGAAGCAAAGTCAGTTTTCTCATATTTTAAAGTCTGACATTAGAGAATACCTGTGACTTTTGGCCTGGCTCCTTGCTGTACACTGGCTGAGAACAGTCAGGGAATGACCCACTGTGGTCAATCTTAATCTAAGAGAGAACTTCTATTTTGCCTCCTGCTCTTAATTTGGAATGGCATTTCCCACAGAAGTGTTCTAAGGACGTGCATTCAAGTGCATTCACTGTTAACTTCTAATTCACTCCAGGATCCTGTAGTAGGTGTTACCTTCTCTTCACGTCTTTTTCAGTAGCTGATGATGTGGTGGGACCATACACACAGAGAAATTCTCACTCCAAGGGGATCCTGAGTCATGCATTGATCTTTGTTTGAGTCCAGAAAATGAGAGAAAGAGAATAGCAGTGATAGCAGCTACTAACATGGAGGCACTGTCAGATTGGGAGCATCTTTGCCTCTTGGGAAAAGCCAGAGCTTCCCAAGAGAAGGATATTGGCAATAGACAAATAGGGATGACTGAGCTGGATCAGAAGCCAGTTTTGTTTCGAATATAAAGGGTTTATATAGGGTATACTTGTATGACACTTATATATAGGATTTTATTTTTGGTAACAATTTCCTATTAGTGACACATTCTGTATGACATCAGTTACTTAGTAATCATTACAGTTTCACAGCATGTTTCTTGGCCACTTCTACCCCAGAGATCAGTTATCTGTGTCTGTCTCTCCCATTGTTTCTACTTGATCAGGCTGTTTTATCAGTTCCATTGTACTCCCTGTCTTATCTCCCATAGAAGGAAGTCAGCCATATGTTCTTGTGTACTTCACATTACAAGTGAAGAAAAAAGCCCAAAGGAAAAACTCCAGACTCAACTGTCCTTTTTCTAAGAGAGGAATTTGAGGAAGATGTAGTTCAAACCACTGAAAGAAGTAGATCATAGCTGAGGAAGCATCAGAAAAGTATGACAAGTATTGCCCAAGACAGGAACTGGAGATAATACAAAAGAACAGTGCCAGTTACGTTTAATGAAAGATTATTTTTCCCATAAAGCTTTACCAAAAAAAGGTTTATTGACATTTCTTGTCAAAATGAGAAATTATTTAAAAGATATTCCTAACAGGGATCTAGTGGTTCAGCTGCTCCTCTGAAAAAAGGGAAATTAATCTCCTACTGTCTATTTTATGTGATGTAGAGTAGGATTTGAAGCTAAGTCTTCAGAAGTTCTATAGGTCCCCCATCACATAGGTGATGGAAAAATCTTTGTCTGGCCCACTAAGCATGGCACCATTTACACAAACCATTTATACAAATATCTGCTGTAACAAGAGCATGAAACAGACCCACACAGTGATCCTCCTTTCCAACTACCAGTGCCTGTGTCACACTGAAGTAATGAGTACCAGGACACTGCATCAGTCATTCACTCTGGCCCTTAGAAAGCAGGTTTCATTCACTCAAGCTCTTGATTCATGTCATACAGATAGTAAGGACTACCAAGGTGATTTTGATAATGTCTTATTGGAAACCACTTCTCTCATTGAGTCCTTTGGATGTAGGAAAACCTGCTGTGCACCCTCACAAATTTTCCATTTATATTAGAGAAGCTGCCTCAGAAAAACAGAATGACCTTTATGGCTTTTTTCCCTAAAAGTACAGTGCAGCCAGAGGAATGCTGGATGGACTGGAGAGAGAAGAATTTATATGGTTCATGCCATTAAGCTTGGTAAAAACAGGGATTATATAGGCCTGCAGTGTCTTTCCTAAAATACAGCTTTGACATCAGAGGTATTTGCTGTCCCTACAACAATTGGAATGCCTGGAGCAGTATTGTATTAGGTCCTTGATTTCACTGCAATGACAAGTGTGAAATGTAAATGCATTATTCTAATGCAGAGTAATTATAATTTTAGTTGGATGACCAGTAAATGTGTAGAAGGATCTAGTGGGTGGATTCATCAGAGCTGTGGAATCCTAAAAACACCAGAGGCAGATTTTCAAGACAGCAGATTAGAAAAGAGAAAATATCATTACCTATGTCACAGTTATATTCTCCCATTTATTTGAGGAGGCTGGTTCTTAGACTCTGAACTGCCAAGGCAGAAGAAACACTCAAGAGACCCTTTGACTAAATGAGACCTGAACCTACATGGTTCCTCCCTAGCTTGGTGGGTTGCAGGTAAAAGCTACACACTTAAGTACTGGGAAGTGGGCTGGGAGGATTAACTGAATGTCCAGGGAGAATGGAGCATATTTCTTGCATTCTGCCTCATACTTTTAAGGAAGAAAATGGTGATGTTTCTCTATTCAGAGAAATGAGACTGCCAACAGGGAAAGAAACCCCTTTGCATTAAGAGGAGCGATTGTAGAAGGAAGGTTGTTGGCTTTCATAAAGGCCTGGGAGCACAGAAGAAGGGAGGAAGGTTTTGGGTAAAGAAGTGCTGCACAAAGAAGAAGAAGCAAGAAGATATTCTCGTTTGAATGTTTCATGACATATAGCTAGGATAAATTTGTTCTCAGGAATGATTTTCTCCCTCCTGAGTACTGTCAGAGCTATTTGAAGCTGTGTTGGGGAATAGGCTGTTTGGTCA